ACTCTTTCAAGGATTTTTGTAGCTAGATCAGTTGCTGAACTATGACAAACATCCATCAAACAAAACTTTTCTGGCAAAATTAAAAGGTATAGTGATTTGATTACTGCGCTGCTTTTTCATTCTATGGAAACTTCTCTCTCATACATTTTCTACTACCTCCTTGCAGTTAACAGGAGCAACCATATTTTCTTAGGACAAATGGAAAAGAAATGGAAGGGAAAACATATACTTTTATACATGAAAAGGCAGTCTTCATCTTCAAAATGGCCACAGCCATTTAAATTTGATTTTGCACTAGAAAAAGTTAGTTTAAAAAAAACAACAAAGACTCTTCGTGTAGCTGAAATCAAAATGGCAGACACAAACCAGCACCATAATTTTTCCTGTTTCCCACTAGAGTCCCACTGGAGCCACTCACTCACCATGCCTTTGAAGTGACTATTTTGTGCTATGCCTCTAACTCATCTTCAACTTTTCTGCATTTTTACACATGAAAGTTGCTTTTTCCTGAAGAAATAGAAATATTTTCTCAGGCAGTTTGGAGGAAGGGTGAGGTGGAATCTCATTCAGTCCCATAAGATTTACTTAAAATAGATTTATCTAGTGATTTATGCAGTGGAAAATAACTAATATTCAGCTAGCTGCATGTATATATATATGTGTGGGGGTAAATGCTTGTACTGTTCTACAAATAGATTCTGGTCTAAGAACAATATACATGATATCAAATACATCATCATATACAGTACCTGATTATGGGCAAAACTCTAGAGGCAGAAAACAGCCTTGGTCTCTGTTTCTGTGGGCATTATCATTCAGAAGGATTTCAGCTGTGAAATTTGACAGTCAATCAAGCAGTAACAAGCTACCTAGTGTCATGCTTGCTGACACTTCAAATATGTGCTTGATGCAATTCTGGGAAGAAAGTAGGTGTCTGCTGGTGAGAAAGTGAAGGGTATGTGTACCCCCTAGGGACCTTTAAATGATTTTAATGCAAATTTCTCAGTTCCTAAGAACTCAAAGCATTAGGCTCTCGAGACAGCCAGAAAGCAGGAAGCCTCGGTTTCTCTCCAAACAGGCTCCACCCATTTGCAAACTTATTCACACCTTGGTTATTTTGGAGAGAACCTTCAACAACACCCTCTCCTGCCTTCGCTAGGGACTGAGTACTGCATAACCTCTCTGTCTACTGTAGAGTAGGTATAAAGAGAAAATCTCTCCATTTTGTCCCTTATTTTTCTGTTAAAATTGAGGACATCCAAGATTTTCCCCACCCCTTAGTTAAGATCTTCTCTGTAACTCTGTCTCTAAAATCAATTTATTTGAAAAAAATATCATCAAACCCATTTTCTTATCTACAAAACTCACTGTTTATTTTCTTAAAAACTCACCTGTTGCAGGTCAAAACTCCAAAACAACAACTGACTTGCTGGGAATTTTTAGCAACTTTTCTATTGATTTTCTCCAAGACTGTACCTTCCTTTCTATCTATGGCTAAAGGACTGAACTGTGGATCTCTCTTTCTTGACTACTGTCTCACAATTCTGTCCTGGCCAAACTGAGAACACAGGCTACATCACGTGTGACATTTTGGATAATAGCAGGGATAGATTCTGGTCCACTGATTAGGTGTCTCTTTACTAGGAGTTGTAAATTTACCTACCATTCAGACCAGATACATAGAAAATAGCTACCTGGTCTATCCTATGTAATTTACATATTTTTATATTTGCCCTTCTAATGTTCCATGCAGTTTTCTTCATTGATCCCCACTCAGAATGGTCATACCAATCATACCAAATCCATATCAATAAGCACTACAGAGGGCACAAAGACTGTGCCCAGGCAAAAAGGGACTTAGGGTGTAGAGAAACATTTCCAGTCGTTCCTATTCTTTTGGAGAAAAGGAAAACAGCAGTATCTATTGTAATCCGTCAACAGCATTATATTTCTTTAAAAAAACCCCAACCTATTAACTATTTAACACAATGTATAACCTTCACATTAATTACAATATTAATTGCAAGGTTAAATGGATGCATTTAAAAAAACAGCATTAAATTTTACACCGTCAGCAATATTTTAAAGGGAGATCCTAAACTTTACTTTGAATTTATCTGCATTAAAAATATATGTAATTGAGCACTTCTTTTAGTGGCATGTCTGTAAATGATTAGTCAGTGTGTAGTAGCTTACACAAATTTTATTTTCCTGAGTAGTGCTGCTTTGCTCAGGCACAGAGATTGAAATTCCCTCTAACTCTGCAGCAGAGCAATAG